CCTACCCCTGACGAGCTAAGACTGTCATACATATATTTGCGCATAGATCCTTAGCAGAGTTCTTATAGTCAAATTGGGGTCCAGACAGCTCACTCAAGGTCTTCCTGCCTCAGTGGTGGCAGTAGGACAATTGTCCAGAAGCAGTTTCAGGGCGGGGCAGGGCTTCTCGGGAGAGAGACGGCATCCATGGCTTCAGTGCAGAGTCTGGGTAGTAGTGACTGGCTGTAGAAGACAGCAGGTCTTCTGAAGTGCTGGCAGCTGTCTGAATGAGCAGAAGGTTTTGATCAGCTTAACTATAGACGGGAGAGTGAGACCTTTTAGATGGAATGCTAGAATGGGAGGCAAGGATTACAAAAAGTGAAGGCTGCCAGGCGCGGTGGCTCACACCTATAATCCCAGCACTTTGAGAGGCCGAGGCAGGCGGATCACCAGAGGTCAGGAGTTCAAGACTAGCCTGACCAACATGGTGAAACCCCCGTCTCTACTAAAAATACAAAAAATTAGCCAGTTGTGGTGGTGCATGCCTGGAATCCCAGCTACTCGAGAGGCTGAGGCAAGAGAATCACTTGAACCCGGGAGGCGGAGGTGGCAGTGAGCCGAGATTGCGCCATTGCACTCCAGTCTGGGCAACAAGGGTGAAACTCCGTCTCAAAAAAAAAAAAACAAAAGGCTACTGGAGTCGGGGATGTCATTGCCTGTGATAATGGAGGTGAAATAGAGATCCTGGTTAATGTTGGTATCCTAGAGCCAGACAAAGGCGTAAGTCCTTGAGTGGATTTAGGGGTATGAGATGTGGCTCGCACTGGGGAGTGTAGGGTAAACGTGAGGATACAGCCCTGAGAGCTGGAAAAAAGTATCCTTCTGTTTTCTTCTCCTGTATTGTCTTCCTTCTCTCTTTCCCTTTTTCTTTTATTCCCTCTTTGATTGGTCTTTTTTCTCTCAGATTCCTTCTGGGAGCCAATAGAATGAAAAGACTAAGAACGGCATAGGTAGGAATCCTGGCCACTGACCAGCTGTGAAATCGTGGCGAGTGACTTTGAGCCTTGTTTTCATGTTTGTAAAATGAAGGCAGTGGAAGCATTAATAGCTTTCTCATTAAATTGGGAAGATTTAATGAAATTAGGTGTATAAGGGCAACTAGGCATAAAGGAAATGGTAAGGGGTCTGGCTGGCTGCTTCTTTCTTGATCAGCCTTCTCTGTTCTTTTCCAGAGGTATTAGTTCTTCTCAACTATTTTCCCTTTGTTCTAGAGCATTTTCTCTTAACCAGGTGTAAGTGGTATTTTTGTTTAGTTGAAAAAAAAGGTTTATGCCTTCTATTTTGAATGTACAAAGTGAGCGAGCGGAATATCTTGCGTTTCTGTCAGTGTGATAGAAGATGACTGCAGTGACAGTGCAGGGGCCCTTGCCTCTTCTCCCCTCAAATAGCAGCAGCCTAAGACCTTTAGTTCCTTTGGGCCTCAGGATCCTTATCTATAAATGTAAGGACTTGAATTCAGCATACTGAGGCCCTAATCTATCTCTAATTGCATCGTTGAGAAGATGCTAAATTATGCAGCCCATGAGCAAAGGACCATGTCTGTTTTGCTTAGCATCATATACCCCTGATATCCAGAATACCTGGCCCATTGAACATACTCTGTGAATGAATGAATGAATTGAATGAATGAATGAATGAATGATGAAGGAAAGAAAGATCTTCATGACAAAGAGGGTAGTCCCCATTCAGCAAGAATTATTGTCAGGACACCCCTGACTTTGTGGGCCCTCTTCTACAATTCTGAATTTAAACTCAAAGTTTCTAATTGCAGAAGATGTTTATTAGCTCAAATGTCAACTCTTTTTTTTTTAGCATTTCTTTTCAGACTTCCTCAAGAGTTCATGATCCCTTTTCAATTCCAATTTGTTGCCATCCTTTATAGTCCTGGGTCTCTGTCATCATCTAGTAAGTCAGCTGTGCAAAGGTAAATACTATTTTTGAAAGCACAGGGTATAATTACACAACATCATAGCACCATCTGCAAGGTGCTGTGCCCTTTTCTTTATTTCTCAAGGCAGCATCGCATACCTCATTTTACAAATGAAGAAACAGACTGAAAGCAAGGAGCATTCCTTGGGCTTCTGAGTTCCTGCTTTAAATACACCACTATCTCTGACTAACACATGCCAGAATTAGGCTCCTTCACACATCCTCTAGTCCTACAGACCTTTAAGGAGCTGAGCCGTGTTCCTCACCACTCATAGGGCCCCTCGTGGCTTTCCTGTCAGTGTAGATCTGTGAAACTTTTTCCGTTCTCGTTCCTGCCGTGTTTTATCCTGGGTAGGGAAAGTATGTATAACAACATCGTACCCAGCCTTGTAGGGTAGATGTGGTCCCTGCCTTCAAGGGTAAGAACAAATTGGAAATACAATCCATTTGTTCACGCAAATACTTTTTGAACTCCCCCTTTGTATAAAGAATATACTATTCCACATACAAGACATTTTGGGATAGAAGGTACTATATAATTTAGAGCCAAAATGATGTGGTACACACTAAGTACTGTCTAGATTTGAAGAAATCAAGACATCAGAATTCGCTGGCAATTTAGATCCTTTTAGATATGTGCAGTTCCCAAAACAAATACAAAATGTTTCTTTCTGGGCAACTTTGGCTTACCCTCTGGTGTTAGACTTGTCAGCAGAATTGGTAACTGTTATAATAATATTGTGACAATGTCAAGACACTTCTAAAACCTGAAATCAGACCACTGAATAATACACTAATTGTTTTCTTTCCAAACAATTAGGTAAAGTGATTGCAAATGACTATCATTAGATAAAGCAAGAAAGGTAGACGTTTCAAGGACATGTAGCTTTTGTTTAAATTGGGTCATCATTACCTTTCCTCATTATTTTGCCAAAACTTTTATAGCAGAAGACTGGTGAGAGGAAGGGCAGTGACCAAGGGGCAGTGCTGAGAACTGCCAGACTATCTACTGTGTTGGAGAAAGGGATTTCTGTGTCAAATTCTCATTTACTACCAACATTCAAACAAGCTTCACTATTTTCTGTGTCTGAATATTTGAAACAATTGGTAACAATTGAGTGTTGGCTGCCATGATGTCACCATCAAAAAATCACGAGAGAAACTCTAATGACTTCTAAATATAATCTGCTAGTTCTCAGCTTATTTTATGTATTCAGGAAAAGCAGTTGGCATTATGTAAGAAAGGAATTATGAAAACCTGTCCTTTCAAGTCAGTCACTGGCAGGACTTTGCAGCAACATTGCTTTATAACCTTGTCATCTGTGATAGAGTCATCTGCCTCGTACTCACTCCTGAGTTCAGAATATGGGATTATAGAGGCACCTGAGAGGCCAGTTGGCTGGAAGATTGTTCGGTCTTATCAGATATTAATAGAAAAGAGATGATTGTTTAGGCTGGGCGCGGTGGCTCACGCCTGTAATCCTAGCACTTTGGGAGGCCGAGGTGGGCGGATCAGGAGGTCAGCGGATCATCGAGACCAGCCTGGCCAACATGGTGAAACCCTGTCTCTACTAAAAATACAAAAATTAGCTGGGCGTGGTGGCGGGCGCCTGTAATCCCAGCTACTCAGCAGCCTGAGGCAGGAGAATCATTTGAACCCAGAAGGCGGAGATTGCGGTGATCGCGCCATTGCACTCCAGCCTAAGCAACAGAGTGAGACTCCATCTCAGAAAAAAAAAAAAAAGAGAGAGAAGTGATGATTTGTTTAGCTAGTTCTACCTAGTATAATTACTAAGAATTAACCTAACTCCTAAAGATGTTTCAGGTTTAAACATTGAGTCAAACTGAAAATGTTATTGGGTCACCAGATCACTGACTGTAGTTAGCTATTTAATGAGACCTTTGATACAGTGGCCAGCACAGAAGCTTAACTTGCTCTCCTTCCCCACCTTCCAAGGTAGCTAGACAAGGAGTAACTGTTCTAACTCAACTAGAAGGCAGCCCTTATAGAGTGAAATGCATCTTTCCACTTCGGATAAAATGCTGTCTCTGCAACAATTTAGCTCCTAGAGAAGACAGAAAAGGCAAACTCGGTTTTTTGTTCTTTGGGTTTTTTTTGGTTTTTTTTTGTTTTTTTTGGCCACTACATGTAAATCACCTTGATTTGAAAAATTCTTGTTACTCTGCCCTCTCAGGATCCTACGTGGAATATGTAGTTGGCTTCCAAACCAAAAGCAGTAGCTCCATGCATTTATTCCATGAATTCAGGAACATTCACTGTACCATCTATGAAAGGACTGGTTATACAAACCCACCCTTGCTGGTCAGTCACTGAGACAGGCCTGGAGCAGATGTAAGCACAAAGGTAGCCAGGCTTTCTGCTTTCTGTATTCATTAGCCTTTTCTAGGTAGTGGATTGGTCTGTTGTTTTATTCCTTTGCTTTTAAAATTTTTGGAATGAATATTTAAAAGCATTCCAATGCTTTTAAAGTTGAATATTTCTTGCTGAGAGCTGATATTTAAAGTTACTTGAGGAAGGACTTTTTAAAAATTCTATATTTAATTTGTAAATATGCATCTGAATAAGAAATATATTTGCCACAGCAATTTTAAGCCTTTGATAAGCTTAAATGTGTTGGTAATGTCTACCAACACATTTTTGGTCGTTTCGTCCTTTTTGGAAACAAAATTCTTCATGTCTGCAGCCACTTGCATTTTTGGTGGAGACCCATTACCTGCAAGGTTTTTAAGGGTTTTGCAGCTTCTGGAAAGCAAGACCCATGACCAAAGAAATTTGGGAAAAAAGACTTGGATAATTAAAAGTGTCAGATGATGACTTCTGACTTTGAAGAATTTAATTGGCCTTAGATGGGAGGTTGTGTGTTTAATCGTTTTGCTTTTTCTGACATGTGACTTGACATGAGTTCCAAGAACAATCAGCTAGTTAGAAGGTTTGCAGAAGGAAGCATTGTGCTCCCTGTTAATCAGCTGTTCTCTCTCTATTCCCCCCCTCATCCCTCTTCTGATTTCAGTGGTGCTTCATGCCCCACCTCCAACCAAGATCAAACGGGAGCTGCACAGCCCCTCCTCTGAGCTGTCGTCTTGTAGCCATGAGCAGGCTCTTGGTGCTAACTATGGAGAAAAGTGCCTCTACAACTATTGGTAAGTGGGCAAGTGGAGTCGAAGAAAGGCTGCCCAGAAAGGCTCTGGAAGTAGCCATCAACCTGAATGTTCCTTCCCAGTGTTACTTACCCAGCAGACCCTGGGGTAGAACACATCCTCCTTTCATGGCAGTGTCATCCTCCAGGTGTAGCATAGTCCCCTTGGGATCATCGTACTGCACACGAAAGAAAACCGTTAAAGCCTTGTGGCTCCGCAGGGCGCTAAGTTCATAGGGTACCCAGTCCTTCTAGGGAAAGAGTCTCAATCCTGGGATATTTGATCTGTGGCTTTGAGGCAGGTAATATATACTTCTTCATGTCTATCATATGTTAATGTGAACTTTAAGCACCAAAGAAGTAATCTCCAAATCAGAATATATGAAAAAGTCTTGAAGCTTGTGCCCTTTACTTAAGAATATCCAGGCCTCAGGAATGAAGCTTTAATTTTAAATCATTCTTTGCTCTAGAAGATAAACATAGATTTGCCTGAAAGGGGGAGGAGAAGAGTTGTTAATTCAAATGATGTCACAGCACAGACGTACCTTCAACACAGATTCTGACTAATTCCTGGGAACCCTGGAATAGTTAGGAGAGGGGACCAGAGAACACCTGGCAAAGCGTAAATTCTCCCCTCACCCACCCACCCTACACAGGCATACACGGAGAATTCTTTTAGAAGGAGGGAGAAAGGAAACCGGAAGCAGAGGCTAAAATTATCCTTGAGAAAAATCACTAGAAGTGTTAAACAAGTCCCTGTGACGCAGTGTGTTTGTCACTTTTCGGAGGTACAAATATCCCCTCAGGGCTACGAGCGATTTAACTATGTTAATGCTGTTATTTCCTGGCAACAATGGGCTGCAAACTAGCTTTCTGCTGGACTTGGTAACCATGCTAATGGCTTCATTTCAGCTTAATGGTTCCTTCTCTTTTTCTGTTTACAGTGCCTATGATAGGAAGCCTCCCTCTGGGTTCAAGCCATTAACCCCTCCTACAACCCCCCTCTCACCCACCCATCAGAATCCCCTATTTCCCCCACCTCAGGCAACTCTGCCCACCTCAGCCCACGCCCCTGCAGCTGGCCCTGTTCAAGGTGTGGGCCCCGCCCCCGCCCCCCATTCGCTTCCAGAGCCTGGACCACAGCAGCAAACATTTGCGGTCCCCCGACCACCACATCAACCCCTGCAGATGCCAAAGATGATGCCTGAAAACCAGTATCCATCAGAACAGAGGTGGGTATTGATCTGGCCTTCTTCCTTACCTGCCTCCCTCATCCCTGTCCTTTCTTAGTGGGAGAAGGGAAGCAGTTTTTCTTGTTTACCAGGTTCCTAAAAAGTTACGATTGCATTGAGGCAGCTTGTGAAGCAAGACTAATAGCAATATGAATATGACTGTTTATATACTACCCTGTTCCCAAGGTACACCAGATGGTTGATGGACTACGACATCCTTATGAAGTAGGTAAGGGAGAGGTAACTGGTATTCTCCCTTCTCACAGAACTAGAGGAAGAATGACTTGCCAGGATAGTCTTGTCCCTCACTGAGGGCAGGTTCCTGACTCCTCATTGGATGCTGCCTACTATTAATAGAATCGAACTTTGGTTGTTAACATTTCACTTACATATAAGGGACGATTGCTGAGTTATACAAGGTAGTATTACTCATCTGACTTTAACATGTTTTAACAGTAGGAGATTAGCTAAGGACCTTGTTTATACGTCTGCTTTTGAGATAGAAATCTCCTGGTTACACTGCAGGTGGGGTTTTTATATTTCTATAGACATTGAGGCATCAGGAGTAACTTGTCCAGAGTCATTCATTTATCAAAAAAGTGTGTAAAGGGAACCTTCTCTGTGCACTCCAAACCTGACCTCTTAAAGTTCCAGCCTTCTAAGTTTATTATCTGTGGCATTCTAGAATCTCTGATGCTTGTGGCCTTCTTTTATAGAAGATGTGCTGGGGGCCTTTTTTTATTTCAAGTTTCCTTGGGATAAGGAGATAACCATGGGTGGGTAGTTGTCAACAATATTACCAAAGGATGCAAGATGGTGTGGGGGGGCGGCAATGGGGCAGGGGTAGGGAAAATACATGAGTGTACCTTTCCCAGGCCTGGTCCATTCCAGATGCCTGCCAGTATTTACTTGGAGATCACTTTATTTCTAGATGAAATGCAGGGAAAAAAATAAGGTCCCTTTGTCTGGTTCTGATCCACTTCCCATTTTGCTCTGAAAGTCACCATTAAGAACAGCAGAATATGGCTAGTTGCTGTTTATTCCTTGGTTAGGCCAAGGGACATGAACACTCGTGTTACACAGGGCTCAAGGGGTGAGCACTGATGGAGTTGGCGAGGGGGCTGGCTTGGGAGTGGGCCTCTATTGCCACCCGGGGCTCATCTGGAACACACAGCTGCCTCTGAGCTTTTGGCAATTGTTACCTTGTACTAACAACCTGTACTTGTGCAGGAGAGTTTGGATACTTGGTTTTTTATGTAAAAATTGTAGATTTTTTTTTTCAAGTTGGCAACTAATTCAAATTAAAAACAACATCACTCTGCAGACTAAACAAAACTTCTCTGGGCAAAATCACCCCGCAGGCCTGCCAATTTGTGAACTCTGGCCTAGATATCATTTTTATTTCAATGGTTTTTTGGTGTTTTTAAACAGCATCTTGCTGATTTTCTGCAAGGGTTATGGGGAAACTGGGGAGGTGGGGTGGGGTCGGGTATATATCCAGTATTTGAAATTCTTAGCAAACTTCTATTTGTTGTACCATGAAGTATAAAAGAAAATTCCTTTATCTAATATTTCCCCCTCAATCCTTGTTCTTTATCCGAGGGGCTTATGTAACATACTGTATTAACAGTTAACTGAGTTGGGAGACAAGTATCCTAGTTCTCCTGGAGAATTGGGAGACGGTAGCCCCAGTCTCAGCTGTGAAATAAGCCTGTCTCCAGTCCACCCAGCCTCCTGAGAAGGAAGGAGGTTTGGATTCCTGGGATTGATGAGTTATTTGCCCTTGGGTGTTGAAAGGAAGAGAGGAGGGAACCAGAATGCAGATATTTCTTTTTTGGGTGATTCCTCCTTGAAGTCTGCCTGTGCATTTTGGACTTACTTGTTCTTATACTCTGCCTTTAGGACTGATGGGTCTAAAATTCAAAGTTCTCACACACACTATCCTTGAGATAATTGAGGTAAAGGGGGAGGTATTCTGTAGGCTACCAAATTGATTAAAAACAACACTTTGCACTTGGCTTTCTACACAAGAATGCTCTCCTTTCAAAGTTGAAAGTGCACAGGAGTCCCCACGGAGTGTGGAGGGGGGATTTTCAATGCAGATTCCTTGTTAACATTCAGAGATAGAGTCGGTGGGCCTGGGGTGGGGCTTGGATATAGTCTTGTCACACTTTGAGAAATTGTGATGCAGCTCTCTCTACCCTCATCCTTATTCCACCCCACCTTTATTTAAAGCATATATTACCAAATTTTGTTTCTACTGCCTTTGTCTACTAATATGGTCATCCACGTGATATCTGTGTGACATAAAACACATCAAAAACATGACTGATTTTGCTTTTAGATACTGGATAGTACACAGAAAATGAGACAGACTAAAATCCCTGGTTTGATTTTTGTAAAAGTAATAGAAATTACAGTCATGGATAATATCAAGCTTAATAATCATACATTTAATAACTTTTATGCTTGCCGAAAACTGGGACAGATTACTTTTATTGGTGACTAGGTTGTCTCTTGGCTTAGAACTTAAAATTAGAGGGACTGTTACTTCAAAACAAAATCCCTAATACAAATACATGATATTTTGCATGATAGAAGTAAATAGAGTCTCATTTGAAACTTTTAACAGCCCTGTGACATAGGCAGAGTAAAAAAAAAACCATTTTGCAGGTTACAAATCAGGCCTCAGCACGGTTAAGGGACTTTCTAAAGCTCACATAACCAAATACAGGGTCCTACATTCAGCAACCAAAAACTTTCATGACGTATAATTACGCCATTTGTTTCAGTTATGATTTTATTTGGGCTGCTGACATCCACTAATGTCTACTATAAAAACTGCGTAATTGACCTTGATAAATATGTTTTGACCTTGAACATGATCTCTTTTTTTATTATACTTTAAGTTCTATCTATCTCTTCAACTACAAAATCTTAATAAATTCCTATATCATTTAATCCAAACCCATGTGCTTAACATGTGTCCTTTTTTTTCGCTGGGTGTGCCGTATCTGTTCAGTTGAATAGAGTAAGCTCTTTGAGGATAAAAACCTGTGATTTAGACTCCTTTCTTTAGGCCATATTTAGCCCTGTATCTTATTTGTCCTCCATTTATGTTTATTGATAGTGATGGAAATTTGCTAAATTATGCCGTAAATAACTAAAATGTAATCTAGTCAAAAGTACATCCTTGCCGCACATGGCGGCACACACCTGTAGTCTCAGTTACTCGAGAGGCTGAGGCGGGAGGATCACTTGACCCCGGGAGTCCTGGCTCTGTAGTACACTATGCCGATCTATCAGGTGTCCACACTAAGTTTAGCAACAATACGGTGACCTCCTGGGAGTGGAGACCACCAAGTTGCCTAAGCAGAGGTGAACTGGCCCAGGGGTCAGAAACAGAGCAGGTCAAAACTCCCATGATCTCACTGTGCCACTGCTCTCCAGCCTGGGCAACATAGTGAGACTCCCATCTCTAAGAAAATAATGAAGAAAGAAAAAAGTACATTCTTAATGTTTTATATAGTCTTAGCATATAATTCTTCACAATTCAGTTTATTTTTAGAAGATAAATACTGTGTTTGAAAGCCATGATTTATACTGGTGATTTCCTCCCCACAAGGAGAGGGGAAAAGATATGTAATTTGACATGTTCAGACATGTTCCACTTATCCTGAAAGACTGGCTGCTCCTGGAAGAGGAGAAATATTTTTTCCTTCAGCCTTCCCAATCTTGAGAGTTTTCTCATTGTATTATTTATGATGTTTACATGTGCTGGGTGGAGGAACTTAGAAAAATATTCCTATGTCATGCCTATAGTACTGGCCGCATATATTTTTGGCCTTTATTAAACTATATCTCATTATATCTTGTGTTGAGGAAAGCCCTACAATTCAACTGAAGAAGCTCCACTAAGAAAAATGTATCTCTTAAGAATTTTGGAACACATTGCTTTGTCATTTACTTGACATCAACAAAAGAGGTTAAAACCCAAGAAGCAGCAACATTTAAGGAAAATGCTCTTGTAGTAGAAGAATCCTCTGCTTCTGGATAGCCCCTAAGGGCATCAGTATTGTGGTAGGCTAGCACGCTGTAAATTGACAGAACATAATGTGCCGTGCTGGAGTCATCAGGAAAAGGTCAACTGGGTAGTGTCTTCTGAAGGAGGAAACGGCCTAAGCTGTTTGAGAATGTCAAGAACGTCTCCCTCAGTGGTTATTATTGAGGATTCAAAGCTTAAAGGGATGGGCTAAGTTTTCTGGAATTTTGATTTAACAAAAACTACCAATTCCTTAAGGATGCTAGATAAATTAAGAGATTTAATATACTTGTTTTTCCTCGTTTTTTCTTCCTCTCTTAAAGTTCATTACCCTTAAAGTAAATTGCTATTCATTTTTGTCCTTCAGATTTTGTAGTACAATAATTTTTAGAGAGGAATAAACTTAACTGTGAGTCACATTTGTAGCCTGGCCTGGAATAAAGTGAATGTGTCTGATGCATCTCTTCTCCAAGCGCCTGTTAATAGCATGTTGTGTATGCAGCACAAATTCACTTTGGGATCTGAAACTGAGTTTCGTGGATGCTTAATGGAACCTTCTTTGACAGACTGAATAATGTTCTTGCAATGGTTAGAGTGCAGAGATTTTTTTAGTTCTGAGTCTTAAGAGGGTTTGTTTTCAGCGTTTCATCATGTTTACAGTAGGCTTCTTATTACCTTTTAACAAGCTAAAGGACACTTCCTTTTATCCCCAGTTTACTGAAAGTTTTTAACATGAATAGAGGTTGAAATTCATTAAACATTTTTACTGCCTCTATTGGGATGATCAAATAATTTTCTCCTTTAATTTCTTAATATGGTGAGTTACATTGATTTATATGAAACCAACCTTGCATTCTTGTGACAAAGCTAACTTGTTTTTTTTTTTATTTTTATTTTTTGGAGACAGAGTCTTACTCTGTCACCAAGGCTGGAGTGCAGTGGCACCATCTGGGCTCAC